GATTAGAACATTCTTGACATGTCTGAGGAGTTATTAGTGATGAAAATAGCTCCACTAAGGCTTCAAATGGGCAGCAGCATTCCCTGGCTCTGCTCTAATTGTGCCACAGCTGAAGGGACGGGAGGAAGAAAACACAAAAAGAAGGCGGGGGACGAGTTGAAGTGGGACTTTGAAGAAGCAACGGTGGCTCTTGAACACCTACCCGTGGTGGAGACATTGACTGATGGACTGGGTTCACTCAGCAACTCCCCGCGACGAGAGAGCATCCGCAACTCGTACACCGAGTCCTGAGAATCACGTAAACACACACAGCGGGGAGGACGGGATGAAACCGGCACTTTGTCAACACGTGGCTGTGCCTGCAATGCTAATGAAGTTCATTTGAATTCATGCAGCTTCGTACAAAACAGAGGAGAAGGAGGGGAGTGCAGGAAAGTGATAGCTGTCATGTAACGCAGTTTCAAAAGTACACACAAAGTATTTTAACAACATGGACTGAYTGAACTCGGAGGTTGAGCCACCGGTTTGTTCCTTTACCTTCTCCAGACCCTGAAGCACCATTTGGCTGCTGTTGGCGTTGATGTCTTCATCCAGAATAAGCCACTCCCCTTCTCCGGTGCGGGATTGGAGAACAAAGCCTGTGATGGGGGGCTGCTGAGCTTCAGGAAGAGCCCATCGCAGAGCAACACCTGCTGAGCCCTGATTAGCAGACAGCCACACGGGGGGCTTTAGTTTATTTCGCCTCTCTGGAGGATCTGATGCAGAGAGAATGAGAGAGACTCGAGTGAATCAGTGGGATACACTCTGGCGGAAAAATTAAATTAGCGAAGAGGAAATTGCTGCCGACACCAGGGCTGAACCGTGAGAGTCTGAAAGGCAGTRAGAAAAGAGGCTAACGTCTGTACCTCTGAGGGTTCAGATCGGTCCATTTCTTATACAGGCTGTTWGGAAACTAAATAAAAATGTGTTCTGCATCATCAATATTGTTTTCTGGGTCMTGGAAAGTGTAACTAATGCAGAAAAGCATTGAATTATTTATTGCRTTCAGTGGTACAATAATACAGTGTGAGACTGTGCTGTAAAGTGGTCAATACGATCATTCCTCTCCGCTCTAATAGATGTGTCAGCACAGGTGTTTTCATCATCTCTCAATATTTCTGTCCAAAACAAGAAAATGCATCTGGAAACAAAAAATAATGATTTCACAAACGTCATCATGCTTTTAAAAAGAATCTCTGAGGAACAATGTTGCTGCTACCACCTTTCACCTGACTTTTTTTTTATTAAAATGTTCTTATTTTAATAAAAGCTTGTGTCAAACCTTGAAGATAACTTTAAATATTTTGTGGTATTTTGTTTGATCTGTCTGTGATTAGAGTACATGTTGTCATTGACTGTCAGCTACCACCACACCAAATTTTAGCTCAACATCTGTAAATTTGACTAAATAAGAATTTTTGTGTGTTTTCTAAAATCAGTTTAAATAGGTCATAGATTCATTCCATGATGCTCCACAGTGTTTGGTTCAGATCCAGCCACTGATTCATGACATATTTTGCTAACAGTAAACATAAACAGGCAAAAACATACTCCATCAGTTCTACATTTTTACAGTTAATAAATCACAAATATAAAATTCCTATCAGAAGCGATCTCAGCTGCTCTGTTAGTGTTTGTAAACAAACACTGGATGTGTAAACAACAGCAATATTAAAGCACCTGTGACATGCAAGTCCTTCAAATACAAACAAATCTAAGAAAACATCTTTATATTTAAGAAACTTAATACATGATTTTACCCATTTTGTCACATAAATGTTGTATTTTCTTTTGAATTTGGCTCAAAGTGAAACAGGAAGTGACATCAAAGGGGAACTCTTTGCTCTTTGATTAATGAAACTTCATTATTTGAACTCTGACTCTTCATGACTCAAACGAACCTAAACAAACATCAGATTCTTCTGTGATGTTAGCCGTTGCAGCAAGTCTCTGTTAACATGTAGATACTCCCCTTTGACATCACTTCCTGTTACGTCACACGTGAATATCCCAACAACTGTTCATCTCAGCTGCATGAAATCTTTTTTACAATATTTTATCTGTTTTCTTTCCAAAAATGCTATCATATTTATTACAAAAAATTAAATGTCACAGGCACTTTAAGGTTTCTAAAATACTGTTTGCATGAACCACTATGAGCTTGTAAGAGTTGGAGTAGTTTTGAAACAGCAGCAATCTACGTTAGCATTAGCTTGACCAAAATTAAACTTTAACTCCAAACATAAGTCTTAAAAACAAAAGCTATTTACAAGATATTTACTGAAGCCAATGTTGAACCACTGCTTTAAGTCAGAGTGTTGATTAATGTTGAGTTCAAGTCAGGAATAACAAGAATTTAAATATTGATTAGAAACATTTTGACCATAAAGAAAGCCAACGCTAACGAGTCACATCAGTGCTTTTTAACAGAAATAGTAAATGTTAGATTTAAATGAATTTTAATGCACAAAACACTAGATTAAATCCCAAAATCCATCCRTTCATGATTTCATTAAGCACTAAAGCTGGCTCTGAGATTTCTGAAGAAAATATATTTTTATTTAAAACTGAATAAATAAAAGTACATTTATAAATATTTTAAATACTTCTGCCAAGAAATCTAAGATTTGTTTTAGCCTTTAGGTAAATTACTCATTATCTTAATTGGCTCAGTTTCTCCTTAAACCACTCACAGTTTTCACTTTATAATTATTATTATTATTATTAATAGACAGGAGTGAGGATAAATATCCTAAACTAATAGGTAAAAATGAGTGAGTGAAAGGTTTTTCACATTAAGAGCGTCATGTTGAGAGAAACAAAGCGTCAGKACTGACCTAAAGTTCGTGCAGAGGTGATCTCACTGAAGGGTCCYGCTCCGATTTTGTTCTGAGCCAGGATGCTGAACTGGTATTCTGTGGCGGGGGACAGGTCCGACACCTGCAGACCGGTGCCGGAGGAGGGGGGCACGGGCACCGAGAACCAGTCCTGCTTCCCGTCTTTATTACCAACCGATATCTTCTTCACCCTGCAGAGGCAGAGAGGAAGTGTGAGGACAGAGATTGGCAGAGAGGATCCTGGGAGTCTGCTTCGATGGAACATGGCAGAAAAGTAGGTTTCATGAATGATTGATGCTCATCAGCTCGTGGCAGACGGCGCTGATGTATCCCTGATATCACTGAGAACTCGCAGCTGCAATTAGGTGTGATTTTCATGTTTCYATCAGAGCTGAAGTTTCACACAATTATTTGACCCTCAGGCTTTCAAAAGAAAAGAAAAAAAACCCTTGCACCTTTTCAAAACAGGAGAAAAAAAGATTCAAGTCAGAACAAAAGCGAATAGATCAAGGCTTTGACTTCAGTAAAGTGGTGTTTTGCTGTAGAACAGGTAATATTACTAAAACATGACAAGTCAAACTGTCTCATGGGTGCAAATTAAATCCTGCACAGCTAAAATGTGTTGTAAACAAAACAAACYAAAGGAGCAGTTTAGAGTTTTATTTGGTTCCTCTGCCCACCCTCACCCCTTTTTACCTGTTAGCAAACATCCACACGACAGTTTAAACTCACTTTGGTGAAAATATAAAATAAAACCAGAAAATGTTTGTTGCTTTTAGGTCTCTGAGAGGAAATTTTTGTTCATTTGTCACGTTTAACATTTTGAAACTTTAGCGCGATGCTTCTGTAGCCTAGAAAACTCCCTTTTTTAATGGGAAGAGTCATATTACATATAAAACAAGCACTGGCAGTGCTACTGCTAGCTGCTGCCATTTGTCTTTGCAAATAAATATGCATTTTGTTTTAAAAAAACATCTAAAAGTTTTTAATAATAATTAAAAACAGATTTGATTTTATGATAAACATTTATTAGATTACATTTTTTTATCTTCCCTCCAGCTTTCTGAGCCACCCCCCCCGCTTCCCGAAAAACTCTGGTCTACAACAAGTAAGATATTAACTGTTCACAAGGTCTGAACATGTACTCAACTAATTTTCTGATGCCCTTTTTTTACATCTTTGTTTAAATTTCGTTACATTTGTAGTTAATGCAGCTCTATGTGATCCTGACGACAGGTTTTCTGCGTCAACGTTTCATAAAAACGACTTTTTAAAGTTTCTTTCGACCCGGCAACTTGAACAGTGATGCAACGCCTGAGAACATTCCCATCAGTCACATCTCGCCTTTAAGCCTTCAAAGCCAATAAAACAAACCAGTGTGTTTTCTCTGAGCCAATATAAAAACGAATGAGTCACAAAAACAAGCGTATTATGTTGTCTTTTTATCAGTAAACCTCTATTGTAGCCAGCATGGCCACAGCATTGTAAAGTTCTGCTCTACAGCAGCGTTTTATATTGTAGCTGCCAAGAGGTGATAACAGATAAATGAATTCCTCATCCAGGAGATCAATAGAGTAATACCAGGGCTGTCGATGGCTGCCATGGTTACAGCCCGAGAAGAAAGTGGGAGGCTTTACACCCACCAAACTGAAAATGTCTGCGCTGATCCTCCATCAAAGCCTGCCTCCCAGGATACGTTGGCCTCCTTCACTCCTGGAGAGAYGGACAGAGAGGTGGCCGCATGGGGACTGGTTCCTGTAATGGAAGAGGAGTTTATAGAAACCACCAGATCCAGCTACAGTTTAGAGGCCAGCTCTTGATGTGCTGCATTTATATGTTGGAGGCGGATCGTAGGCACCGGCAGCCRGCCCGAGCCTGAGCTGGGTATAGCAGGGTTACACAACCTGAAAATGTGAGCGGCTCATGTAAGAGTTGTGTCGACTCACCCAGGACGAAAACTCGGGTGCGCGTTTTTATGGAGGCGACGCGGTTGGAGACGCTGCACTCCCACTCCCCCTGGTGGTCCTTGATGAGGGGCTGCAGCAGCAAAGAGCCGTTTGGTTGGACGGAGTAAGAAATGGGACGAGCCGGGTCGACCTAACAAAAACACCAAGATGAATCAAAAAACAAAACTCTCTTCAGTCGCTACTCATGACCCACCACCCTGAACATTTA